ATAATAATAATAATAATAATAATAATAATAATAATAATAATAATAATAATAATAATAACTTACAATGTAACCAGCATACTCCTCTTCCTCTTCAAATCGATCATGCAGCCAAACAAACTCTTCATGTTGTCTAACAACAAGAAATTCAGTTTTTTGAAACTCCGGCAATGTTGTCTTAGTATGTACCGTAAATTTAACTTTATCTTTCTCACTCAACGCGTCAGATATGTCAACTTGCAATGACTTGTCAGTCAGGTCAACATTGTCGGCCTGAATAACCTGAAAATTATTGAGCCATCAAAAACACTCAATTTTTTTCCAAAAAAATTATCCACTCGCTTATTATCAAAACAAATTAACAATTTTATATATTATTCAGCTGCAATTGACAGAAATAAATAAATAAATAAATTACCTTTTTAGGAGGAGTATTATTTAAGATGTCAGCGTTATCACAGATTCCGTCCTGCAACATTTTGGAGTTAAATAATTAAATCCAGCGGTTCCGGTTTATTAAAAGTATTTTGGGTCTTATTAATAAATTAATAAATTTTCATAAAAGAGTACTAAATTAATTAGATAAAAATTGTGTTTTAAAAAAGCAAAACCGGGCACTAGTGATAACAGGTTCCACCTACCATCATGGCGTCCGCAGATAATTCAACACTTGTTTTTAAATGCCGATGAATAACAATTATTTGTTGTATTAAATTATTAGTTCTCACTCAACACTTTTATAACTTTTGACACGGAGTAAAAAAAGTGTAAACTCGTTGACGGAATTATTAATTTTTTTTTTTTTTTTTTTTATTTATTTATTTAGATATTTAAAATAATAACGGAGCACGTTTGTTATAAAAACATCATTCTTGTCATCTTTTTAGTTGACTACGACTACAATTTACTAATCAGCTGCAGTATATTATGAAAAGGACATAATATACATATATATATATAGCATATGTGGACGGTAATGAGTACTGCAACGCGTCATGTGTCGCTCTTTTTTTAAATTGGTGTCGTTGTCGTCGATTTTGAAATTTTAATTTTTTGGCGGTAATTATTTAATTTATTTTAAATTATTAAAAAGAAATTTTAAATAATTTTGCAGATATTTAATAATTTTTTTGACAAATAAATTAGTGCCAAAAAAAAAAATATGAAAATTAAGTTATTTTTAGAATTTTTTTTTATTAAAAAAATAATTGCAAAAGAAAAAAAAATTTTATTTGTAAAAAACTTGAAAAACTTTAAGTGCAATTTTTAAAAAATATTTTTTAGTTCTAATTTTTATAATTAAAAAAAATTAAAAACGTCGGCTAATTTTAGTGTTATAAAAAAATTGACATTTAATAATAAAAAATGCAATATTTATTTAAATAATTTTTTGAAAAAAATTAATAAATTATTGACAAAAAAAAATATTTTCATTATTCTTGATATACATATTTATTAAATTAATGTACATTAAATATATATATAAGCACATATCAAATACCAAGTTTATTTTTAATTAAATTTAAAGTAATTGTCTTAATAAAAGCTTTCGTTAAGATTTATCTTCCCTTATTTAAAAAATTTTTTTTTCATTTCACATCATATCCACCATTACGTTTTTTTTGTACCTATAAGTCTTAATTTAAAAATGAAAGTCCCAAGGAAACATAGAGATATTACATTAATAATAATAATAATAACCATAATAATAAGTAATTAATTAATATTATTAATTTCCCATAGATATATATGATATTAATTATTTTGACTAGTCTTAAAAGCAAATACAATCAAACAATGTGCGTATGTTAATTCCAATCAGCACATTTTAACATTTAATCATCATTTGTCATATATATTTATTTATATTTATATACTTGCGTTATTTATAGTATGATATCTTTTAATCAATCGAGTTATTAATTAATTACTTGATATCCTTACCGTAAAAAATAAAAATTTGTTTAAAAAAAATTGATTACATAAAAAAAAACTACCAAAACTCTGCGTTTTAATAAAAGTGTTACATACTTAAATTAGGCATTTTTTTTTTAGCAGAGTTTCAATATCTAAATAGTCAAAAGATCATAAATCACAATTATTTAAATTAATTTAAAAATTAATTAGATATATAATTAATACATCTTACATATACATGAACTTTTTTAGTGTCATTCCTGCTCATTAAACATTTACTCTGTTTATTTAATATATATATATATATTTTTTTTAACATCAAGTTATAAAGTGAAAACTAAGTAGACTTTTATGCAAATATATTTACTTAATTGTTTATTACTATTTTTTTTTTTGTATAACACAATTTATTCTCGTGTAACAAATTTATGCAACACGTAATCTGATTTATTGAACGGAGCGTTGAGCACGCGTTATGTATGAGTGTTATTTTTTATTATTAATATAACATAATTGTTAACTATGATATACAGATTTTATAGTAATAATTTTACAATTGATTGCAAGTTATGTACAAAACAGTGGAAAAAATTTTGGTAATTATTTACAAGTGGGGTCTACTATTTTAATTTTAATTTTTTTTAACGAAATTTTGATACATTTTTTTTTATAAATATATAATTTATTTTGAAAATTAAGATTTTTTTAATTGTTCGCTTTTTTAAGTATTTTTCAAAAAAAGAAAAAATAGAATTTTTTTTCCATAAATATAAGAACCAAAATTTTTTCCAACTTTGAAAGCAAAAAAGTTATCGAAATCTTTATTTTTTTCTTTCACAATATTTTTTTATAAATCCGCCGTAAAACAAGCAAAATAAAAAAAATTAAAAAATGTTAATGACACCACTTGTAAATAATTACAAAAAATTTTCACTAACATTCAATGAAAATAAAAGATAAATTTGTGATGAAATTACCTGAGGATTTATAAAAACAATAATTGTAGAAATAGAAATTAAGTGGGTGATTCTTTGATTAATAATTAGCATATTTTAATATATTTATATTTGTATTAATGTTAGTTAAGATTGAAGAGCAGGAATGAGACTTTTAATGTATTTGTTTAGATAGAGGGATAATTTATTGGTGGACAGGTGGCTCTTATTCCCTAGCAACAACCACCGCCTGGTGCATTACCTTGACCGCCGGTTCCAGATAGACCTCCGGGGTTGGTCGGGGAATGCTGTGGTCCAATTTTTATTCCGTTGGCCTGATAACCAATGAATACAATTATTGTCAATCAGTTTGAATATTAAATTAAACGGAGTAATGGAAATTGATAATCGATAAATAAAATAAAGTAAAACCTCATTGTTGATGTCAAAGACACCCTCCTGTATTTTTTCGTAAATCTCTTTGGCCGTGTTTATGAAAGCCTCTTCGACATTAGCAGCTGTCTTGGCACTGGTTTCCATAAAAACTAATCCGTGCTCACGGGCAAACGCCTCACCCTCTTCTCGGCGGACTTCTCTCCGGGCGTCGAGGTCGCTTTTGTTCCCGATCAGCATTATCACCATGTTGGAATTCGAATGCTGTCGCGCGTCTTCCAACCAGGTTGTTAAGTGATTGAATGTCTCACGGCGTGTGATGTCATATACTAACAATGCACCAGCTGCTCCGCGGTAGTATGATCTTGTTATTGAACGGAAAGCTTCTTGTCCTGCCTGTTTATTTTAAATATACATTTTTTTTTTATTTTAAAAGCATAATTTTTTAATATTAATTGTTCTAATTGACTTTGAAAATATTTTTTTTAATAAACAAATTATTTAACAAAAATTATAATTAAAAAATTTGTAATAAAAAATTGTCATAAAAATTTGCTTTGTTAAAGGATGATTTTGTTAAATTTTACTGTAATTTCTTAACTATTGACTTTTTTAAAGATATAAGCTCATCCCGTAGTTAAACTCATCAAGAGCTTCCATTTGAGTACTCACATGCATTTTTCATATATACATATATATAATATACATAAATATATGAAAAATTGATGTGGGTACTCAAATGAAAGCTCTCGATGTGTGTAATATTAGGATGAGCTTATATCTTTAAAAATGTCAATTGTTCACAAGATATTTGTAAAATTGCACTGTACTTTCTTAATTATTGACTTTTTTAAAGATATAACCTCATCCCGATGTTATACTCATCAAGAGCTTTTATTTGAGTACCCACATGCATTTTTCATATATTTTTTATATATATATATATATATATATATATATACATATTTATAAATATATAAAATATATGAAAAATTGATGTGGGTACTCAAATGAAAGATCTCGATGAGTGTAACA